GGATATCATATCCTGAGTCCCATCAAACTCTAGTGGCTTCGTGTTGTTGTACTCTCGATACAGCAACGAGTCACCCCCCATGTGGCATCGCGGCAGCAACAGCTGCAGCAGCATCCGCCTCAGTAACGGCAGCATATCTCTCATCGAACATCTCAATCAGTGTGGTCTTGATAGACTCAAACATCTATAGGATGGCCTCCCGGATCGCCATGGCCACCTCGTCGTGAATCATCCGACGAGTCCCCTCATCGCTATCGCTGTTGCCCCCTGGTGTGTGGCGTGTCCCAATTATGATGTCTCTGAAACATAACACAAAATAAATCAAAGACTCGCTCGAGTATACTCACACTCGATACTCAACCCTACTTCTTCCTTAGTACCCTAAGGATTCTTACTTAGACTGCTCACTGATCCGGTGTTTCTAGTAGTACGGGTCATATACTACCTTCCACACCACATTAGTATTCACCCCAAGTCCTCCTCCTAGGATCCCAGATCACAAGTACACTATATCTCACTGAATACAAGCTACCCTCCAGTAGACCACTCATAAGCTCCTCGTTGCTACCTACTCACTCTTGAAGTAACTCATAGTAGCAGTAATCTCCTAGGCTAAGGCATCAAAATTAGGCCACTCTAATCCTAGATATGAATACCTAGCTGACTTTAGCATGCATAGCATATCACATAATATCTCATAACACATAATGTAAGGATATTTTGGGAAAAAACCGTTCGGGCGTTGGCTGATCGTACACACTGCTCCTTTCTGCTTTTTCTCAAAAATCTTTTACTCTTTTGAAAAAAAATTGTTTCTTTTATGAAAAATTTCTCAAATCCTCAGTTTGAGTTCAGATACGCCCGAGGGTGCATCTGAATCCCTCAAACCAAGGCTCTGGTACCAACTTGTAACGACGTGAATTTACAAAACAATTTTTCATTTTTAAAACATAACATATCTCATAAAGTAATCTCAAAAATCAAATGTATCAAACATTATCTCAGTAAGTACATATCTCGGAATCTCAAATACATAATACATAATACTCTATCAGTGTGTACAGATCATGTCGGCACCTTCGCGCGATCCTCACTGGTACCTGAAACACACCTCACATAACACGGTAAGCATAAATGCTTAGTGAGTTCCCCAAAATACCACATACAACACTTAAGCCACTCAAGGCTATAACTCGGTAAGAACCTCTAGTCAATGTGTTCCAGTGGGACCTTCCAGTCCCATAGCTCGTTGGACCCTCTGGTCCGGTCTAAATCGTTGGACCCTCCGGTCCGGTCTGGTTGAGGACCCTTTGGCCTCGTAAGTCTTTAGACTCTCCGTTCTAGTCTAATATCACATAGCATACATAAATCACAAAGCACATAATCTCAAGCAAGAACATAACACGTAAGACCCTCCGGTCTGCACATAGATACCACTCTAGGTAATGTATAGTGAGAAGACTCACCTCGTAAGATGTCTAGAAAACTCTCGTGCTCGAATTCCCAATCTATCCTCCACCTATCAAAATGATAACATCTTCGATCAATACACTCCTTACATCCTCCTCTCTAAGAATGGGTAGAAGACTATTCTACCCCTCCCTGCCCTCTCTTAAATTAGTTTGACCAACCCTAAGGTCAACTGAAGTCAACTCAATCAACGGTCCAACTTTGACTAGACTCGTCGAGTGCAGTCGGGTGACCCGACGAGTCCATGCGTGTCCTCTGAATCCTCCTAAGGCCTTAATCAACTCATCGAATTAACCTTTTACTCAACGGGTTACCACTGATCACGAATCGCGGGGCAACCCAATCCGACTCGTCAAGTCCTCTTATGGGCTCTGCGAGTTTCCTCCATGGCAACACCCATTTGATCTTCTGAGATTAGATCTGATTCTCTAACCTATAGATCTGGCCTCCTAACACCCAAAAGTCACGTAAAGGTTCAATCTTTATGTCCATGCACTACACATCAAGATCTATTTGATGGAATAACTCATAAAATAACAACCTAGATTCAAAACTCCAATAAAACTGCATAAAGTTGGCTGATTTGGACTCTTTGGACCTAGAAGGGTCCAAATCTATAACACAAACTTGAAAGAGGGGTTTGAGGCATTCAAAACCCCAAAAATGAAGTGATTCAAGCCTTAACCCCAAAAATGGAATCTACACCATAAAGAAGAAAAAGGGTTCGATTTGGTACCTCAGAATGAAGAACCTTACTTGAATAACTCAGAAAAACAACCTCCTCTAGTCCCTCTTGATGGAACTCTTCTCCACTCTTGCAAAATCGCACCAAATAAGTCAAGATAGCTCTTTCTCTCACTCTCCACACTCAAGCTCACTAGGGTTCTCTCTTCTAGAAAGGTAGCCACAATTGAAGTCCATAAGTGCCTTTAAGTAGCAATTAGGCTCGAAGATTTAGGGTTTCTTCCAACAGCACGGACTCGTCAAGTTGACTCACTAACTCGTCGAGTCCATTCATTAATCCGAGTCATCATTCACGACCTTACTCGACGAGTTTAGGCGTCAACTTGTCGAGACCCTCTTCTTAACTCAAAAGTACATACTTAAATTATGATACCTGTAAATCCTAATGTTACAATTGGCATGGTGAGGAGACTCACCTCTCACGAATGTTGTGCTGACAAGATAAGATTCAATAAGTTCCAACGCTTAGCTCCAACTGAACTTCCTATAAGCATTATAAGGTTAATTTTTTTATAATCCCATAATTACCCTAAAAGTGAACTCTGGTCAACCATGGTCAAAGTCAAGGTCAACAGACCATGTTGACCCCAACTCGTCCAGTGCATCTAGCAACTCCTCGAGTTCCTATGGTCAAGTTCAAGAATGAGGGCTTGGTTTGCTGGATCTTATTCTTCTTCTCTTTGTCTCCTTCTTTTTAAGCTTCACAAGTCACTCTCACTAATAAAATGAAAGATAATGGGGATTAGGGTTTAGCACATATGTTCTTAGGGTTTGGAGGCTGATGGAAGGTCAACCTCAAAGTCCTTAAGGATATTATATAGGGTGGAAACCCTAAATATAGGGTTTTTCTTTTATAGTACCTACTCGTCGAGTGGGCCTTCCAACTCATCAAGTAGGGTCTAGATCTTGCATCCTCGAAATGTTCTCTACTCGACGAGTCAGGGCTCCCAACTCATGGAGTCCCAACATCAAAACCCTAAAACTTAGAAAATTAAATAATACCTGGAACAGGTGTTACATAATCCTTTAAGTATTTAACTCAAATAACCCACTCAAGGAGACAACTCAGGAGGGCTTTTAATTCACCAAACTTGCTTCAAAAGAGAGAAAAGTGTAGGAAGAGATGTATTTTCATCCATAAGCAAGAAGAGAAGAAAACTAGTAAACTACTAGCCAAAAGCTCATCCAAGACACTCTCTTATATACTAATGAAAAAGCACAAGAAACTCCATACTATAATCTAAAGTAAGAACCTTGCTTTAGAGGCATCGGGATATTCATACAATTGATGCCAACTTGATAAAGGAATGACCATATAGGATCATATAATATTTGCAATATCACTCAATAATGATTCTTAGGCAAATAGATTCAACATGTTGGATCTTCACACAATTGATGCCTTCTTCTTCTTCTCAACAAAAATCACCATAAATCTTCAAAACTCAACAATGGTTGCTATGGGTGCTTCTAGGTCGAAAGGGGAGTGATGGAGGCTGAGGGTGTGTAAACCCTAGCCATCACATCCCTTAAATATGGCACAAATCGCAAAATTAGGGTTTTACACTCTGGCGGCCACCACAGTTGTGGTGCGCATAAACGATGCACGTTTCCTCTAGCTATGACCACGACGTTGCCACCAAAAAAACACAATTTAAGATTTTAATTGCCATAAACTCAAGGGAATTGTTTACCTAGAAGTGGTGTTACAAATAAATTTACCCTTTCAATTACTTTTTGTTTATAAGGCTATGGAGCACAATTGGTTACAGAAAAGCAATGGCTTTTAAAATCAATGAGGAACCTTATAGTTAATGGTAAATTCCTTACCATTGCATGTTTCAAGCAAAATCACTAAGGGATCAAATCTTTAACCAATGGGTAAAAGTCATGGACAAATTTTTCAATGTTGGTCGCTGAAAATCTACAATACCTAGACAAATGTTCGGTGGTTAGAGAAATAAATATACGGTTGTCTAATTTTATTTTTGCAATCATAGCATTGAACTTTCATGTTAATGTTCAATATCACATTTTACTTTTATCTTAAAGATAATTACAGGATTTTAATGCCAACTTATAACATTTTTTTTTAATTTGAATGTGAATTACATCATTTTATTCTTATCCTAACGTCATTCGTAGCTCAACTTTCATTTTAATGTAGATTATAATGTTACACTCTAATGTTAATGTTGATTTTAGCGTTTTAGTTTCATTCTTTTTTCAATTATAGCATTCAACTTTCATAGTCACAGATTTCTCCAACAAGAAAAAGTCAAGTATATCTATGATATCAGATGCATTAGTGTGGGTCTATCCGCTATATGTATGTGGTAGACCTATTTTAAAGATCAATATTAGTGAGCTTGTGTTCAAACCACCCTATCATCTTTGTTTCATATTCAGTTCGAGTTTATTGTATAAAGATGGTATCCCAAAGGTAATTATAAGCCGTGGAATCTGTATATGGTTGCTTATACTTTTAATTGTGGTACAGAGATCTGAAGTATGTTATCTGAATTATAAAATTATTGTAGACATCTAATGAATTATTAATTTGTTCATTAAAATCCGTCACGTTGAGAAAAAATATAAAATTTCACGTTATTCAAGAGCTAGGAATCTGGGTTATTTATAATGAAATCGTGAAACACGATTTGAAGAAAATATTATTAATAAACATTGTATTTAAATTTTGAATTAATTAAATCATTTTTTATAAAATCAATTGTTGGAGTTTGATAAAGATGCAGCGTTTTTTTCGTCTATAAATAAGATGGTAAATCCACATTCCACTTCACAGCTGAAAACATAAAAAACTTTCATCCAAAGACGAAAGATATGGCAGCAAGTCTACAGAAAGCAAGGAAGTACTCCTTCCCCGATGACATAAGTAGTGCCGATTTCGAACCAGATTTTGTTTGGGGTACTGCCACTTCTGCATATCAGGTATCATATTATATTTCTATATTTTTAAAAATATTATGTGGTGTTATTGTGATAATTGTGATAATTTCCTATGAATGAATCCTTCTAATTAATTTTAATAAATAGAAGTGTGTAAGGGGTAAAAAGGTTCATATATAAATAGAAATCATGAATCAGAGAGTGATAATATCATATAGGTACTGCCACTCATATGATTTAACGTCTTATACCATTTGATTGTGATAATTTTCTTTGAAATAATACAAACAGTTTTACAAAAATTAGTACTACTATATATGCTAACAGTGTCGACACTAGTAAATGACTCGTACAATATAATTGGTTTAAAACCATTGTAACCATTTATGTAACAGACTTGAAATCAAGGGAGAATTCATAGCCATGTAAAGGGTGTCCATGGACACCCCTTCTTTTTGGAATTATTTAAGATACTATACTACTATATGAAAAGTTTTAGTTGGAGCATGGATAGTTTGAAGTAGCTTGTAAGTTTAAGAAAATTACAGTATCAAATAGCATTAATATTATTGGGAATATATATTAGAAAAACAATAAACTTAAACTAAAATGTACTTACTGAATATACCATTTACCATTTCATTTTCAGAGATATTGCCATGTGAAATTAAAATTTAACATTTGAGTATAATTTTCTTGTTTCACATAGATTGAAGGTGCTGTGCTTGAAGGTGGTAGACAACCAAGCGTCTGGGATACTTTCTGCCTCAAAAAATCCGGTTTCTCTCTTTCTCTCTTTTTTTATTTTTATTATTATTGTTTTTTAATATCACGACAATGATCATTTTTGAATCCACGACCTCTCATTCTAATTCATGAAATATTCTTAATATTTTATTATAGGTGCCATCGACAACGAAGATAATGGAAACAATGCTATTAATGCTTATTATAAAACAAAGGTATAGTTAATTAACCTTTGTTTTGCTCAAATATTGGGGCTTCATAAATCTCTTTTCTTCTAAGTATATTTCATGGTCGTACACAGGAAGATGTGCAACTGATGAAGAAACTGGGTCTAAAAGCCTACAGATTCTCACTTTCATGGAGTAGAATATTACCAGGTGAATTTACTTCGAAAATGAACAGAAATAATATATATATATATATATATATATATATATATATATATATATATATATATATATATATATATATATATATATATATATATATATTGCTGAATTTTTAGGTGGAAAACTGAGACTGGGCATCAACCAGGAAGGTGTCGACTACTACAATAACCTAATCGATGAGCTTAAACGCAATGAAATTGAGCCATTTGTGACGTTGTGGCATTGGGATACTCCGAATGCCCTGGAAGAAGACTACTTGGGTTTTTTGGATAAACAAATCATGTAAGCTAAAAGATATCAAACGAGTTTTTAATTAAGAGTTTATAGGTTTAATTAATTAATAGCAAATATAATAAATTGAATAAAAAAATATATCGGGTTATGTATATTTGATTATCAGAGATGATTTCGCGGATTATGCGGAATTTTGCTTCTGGGAATTTGGTGATCGGGTTAAGTATTGGATCACATTGAATGAGCCCCACAGTTACGCTTCATCTGGTTACGGTTATGGTATTCACGCACCAGGTCGAGGAGGTGTGCAAGTTGACCCTGAACTCTTGGCTGGAAATAACCTTGGAACTCGTAGCAATGATATTGTCGCTCCAAGAACTTTCGACAATAAAGGTGTTGGGGATGCTGCCACTGAGCCCTATACTGTCGCACACAACTTACTTCTGGCTCATGCAACTGCTGCCGATATATACAAGAAAGGATTTCAGGTGATTAATATCTCATCTTGGTTAATAAAAACATATGAACAAGTAGAGGTATCTATACTAATCAAGATTATAAAAGTTGTTAATAATTAATTATGAACTTGTCTTCAAACCTTCAGGATAGCCAAGGTGGTGTGATTGGAATTACGTTGAACCAACAGTTTAACGAGCCATTAAATGAAAGGAATCCCGAAGACCAGAAGGCAGCCGACAGAGCCATGGACTTCATTTTCGGATGGTGAGTCCATTTGCACTTCATGAAAAGGAGACACACACAATGAGAGAGATCTTATCAACAAGCATGCATACTGATTAAACCTCAAACTTTTTTCAGGTACATGGAGCCATTGTTTAGTGGCAAGTACCCAGACACAATGAGAGATCTTGTCAAGGACCGTTTGCCTGAATTCATAAATGATGAACCCGAACTACTGAAGAACTCTTACGATTTTATTGGGTTGAATTACTATACTGCCCGATACGCTACCAATGCGGAACCAACTGATTTGGTATCCTACTTGACAGATAGCAATGTGCACCAAACTGAAGGTATATATATTAAATGATTAATCCAAGTCTCGGTTAAAAAAAAATAGAATGATTGTGAACACGTACATGGATGTTGGTAGTGGTTCGATGTTGGAAAACGTCTTGATATGTTTCATTTGATTTGTTTTTCTCAGTTGGCCTTGATGGGAAACTGATCGGTCCTGAGGTACGTATCATTGGTTTTGATATGAGTGTGGTGTTCTGAGTTTCTTAATTTACATTAACTGATCAATGTAGGGAGGCGTTGATTGGTTTTTTTCCTATCCAATTGGAATTTACAAATCCTTGATGCAACTAAAAAATAAGTACGGAAACCCATTGGTCTATATAACTGAAAATGGTAATCACTTTTGTTATTTTTGCCTTCTCATAATTAATTAATGGTTTTTTTCGTCATAAATTAATTCAAAATAATAATGTATCATTGTACCATTTGGGTAGGCTATGCTGATGCAATGGATATCAAACTGAAAATTGAAGAAGCTCGTATCGATAATGAACGTATTGTTTATTACAATACACATCTTCAAAATGTCCTACAAGCAATTAGGTGAGGTTATACCATATATAATACATTTTGTACATGTCACATTACTCTTTTCTTTGCTTTGCCTGCATTCTAATCAAACCTTGTTACACTGTTGTAGGGATGACTGTAATGTGCATGGGTACTTCGCATGGTCAATGATGGATAATTTTGAGTGGCACAAGGGATACTCTGTTCGTTTTGGTCTATTTTATGTTGATTATAGTCATGGAAAATACACAAGGTACCCAAAGCACTCTGCAATATGGTTTAAGAAGTTTCTTAATCCCCCTGTGAAAGAAGAGAAGCTAGGTGAACGTGATGCAAATTAAGAAGTGTATTGCTTGAACACAAAGAAGTGAGTCGCAATCGGCACAGAAGAAAATAAATGCCCAAAGTGGTTTCTACTTTCATGAATAATAAGTGCGTATTATGTCTGTTTTAACGTTTTCGATTCCTTTTAATAAATTATGTTTCATGGGTGGGTTGGACATGTCTATTGTTCCTTTTTATTTTCGGACGTGAAATGAATGTTGTCTTATGTGAACTCTTGAGTTAACAAACAATATATATATATAATCTGTTGAGAACTCGTAGTTTCCCGAGAACCCGAGTATTAAAAGTGGAACGTTAAATCAAAATTAACTCATTAAGAGCATTATGGTCTTCTTATCGATCCCATTTAATGTTTAATTTTTTTGTTATTGGAAATATTAATAAAATATTCTAAAAATTAACATAATAAATCAAGTTTCAGTTTTTATTTTAATTTTTGTTTTTTTAATGGACATTTTTTACTTTTTTCATAAAACATGAATTTTAAAAAAATGGAAAAAAAATATTTTTTGTATAAAACTGCAATTTTTCTAAAATAAACAACATTAAAAAAAATGTATTTTTTCCAAAAAAGATATAATTTAAAAAAAAAAAAAAAAAAAAAAAAAAAAAAAAAAAAACTGTAACTTTTTTCAAAAAAAGTACATTTAAAAAAAACTGCTACTTTTTTCAAAAAAACTGTATTAAAAAAAACATGTATTTTTTATAAAAAAAAAAAAGGGCATTTTTTTTAAAAAGTAAATATTTAATAATCAGTAAATTAAAAAAAATGTAGAATATTTATAAAACAATAAATAAATAAAAAAATAAAATAAAAAACACTACTTTTCTAACCAAAAAATCAAAGTTTTAGGTGCATATATGCATATTTTTTCAAATGCATATATGCATATTTCTTATACTATAGTATGCGTAAATAAATCATAGAAAAATCTCATTTTTATTAATTAATCTATAAACATAATAATATAAAAAAATTATTTGATACAAAATAAAATAAAAAATGCTACAAAGATTCACAGTGTTGTCATTTCTTCATATAAAAATTTTCATATTTTCTTCAATGTATCACTTTTCACATCTTCAATATTTTCCATAAATTCTTCAAAATCTACAATAAAATTAAAAAAAAATTGATTAATAGAAGAACACTCACAAAAATACATATGTATATATATATATATATATATATATATATATATATATATATATATATATATATATATATCATTTAAGATTCACATGTGATTATATCATGTACGATTCACATGTGATTATATCATGTAAGATTCACATATTGATTATATAATGTGATATTCACATGTGATTGTATATTTTAATATTCAAATGTGAATTTGACAATAAAATTTTAAAAAATAATTGACGAAGAACACACACACATAAAATGCATGTGTGCATCTAGACGTAATTCATATGAGATTCACTAGTGATTTAAATGTAAAACACATGTAATTCATATGTTATTCACTTGTGATTTACATGTGAATCACATGTAATTGATATGTGATTTACATGTGACTCATATTTGAATTACATGTGATTCATATGTGATTCATATGTGAATCACATGTAAATCATATGTGTTTCAC